CGAAGTTAAGCATACAACCACTATTACTAGTATACGACACAAGCAAACGAACTCATACATCTAAATTACCATATTTTGTCAGAGGCCTTTGCTTAAGTGCTGTGCGATTCGGCGTTGAGTAAGTAAAAAAATGATGTGATGCGTAGAGATTAAAACTCAATTCATATTCACATAGCCACCACATCACTTGCCTAAAATGGAACAAACACTTAAGTATGAAAGGAGGCTGTTCTACGGTGCCGACGATGAGTTCGTTTCGGTTTTGTATTAAACACCGGTAGCATGCTTGTTTTAAATAGACCCGAAAGGTTATGCGCACTCCGAAACTTGCTTATATATATTGTACTATTTTGTGTTGAATATTGTTATTAATACTATTGTCGTTGTGTACAGGAATTCCGTGATGAGTACCCGATGAGACCGACTTTATGTGTTTAGGTGAAAATTTTAATTTTGGCGCGTAGTTCCCATTGCCAGTTTCGGTGCTGTTACTGTAAATAATATTATGCCAAACAGACCGCGACAACTATATTACAATTACCACTCTAGTGCAATGTCCGTACGTCATCGGCGGAAGTATTTTTCTGCTTATTCCTGAAAGAATTTTGGACTATTGAATTTAATCAGACGGCGCATTGAATATCTCTGGACCGTGTTGCGCCTTTCTCGACCGCCATACCCTAACCGTGACCGTGTGTTAATCTTGCTGTTGTTTAATTTTGCCGGGCGTTGATAATACTAGCTGGTGCTGATGTGGTGTCTTCGTAATATATTGAACTACTCGAAATATATCTTTGTGTAGAACATAGTTTAATGTATGAATTGAATTCTTAAGATATGCACAAGAGAAAATCAGTTAAAAAGTTGACATGGGTCAAGCCACAAAAAAAAAATCATATGCAGATATAGGAATTATATAAATTACATTAAGTATAAATATTACAAATGCTACAAAGTGTAGTAAAATAGGTTGAAATAAAAATAGATTATTCAGTATTAGGAACTAGTTAACATATAGGTACACGTGTTTTAAATAAAATATAATATAGTACAATATCAAGGTCAACCGCATATATACGCTACACATGTTTTCCATTTATTTATTGTTTATTACAAAAAAAAAATATCAGCTTAAGTTAACCAAACAGTAAAAAAACACGTATAACCGAGCAGAATCTAGAAAACAAATTACTCGATAAAAATTGAATTGAGCACTTTTGATCACCAACCAAATATTTTATTTAAGTGCGTCGTCTCCGGTTTAAGAGAAAAAACTATACGTTTAAAAAAAGTGCGCTATATAGTTAATACGACGCTTTTATAGTAAAAATGTATTTCCGGCGAGTATGTCTGGTCTTAACGATTGCGATAACAATTATGATCCAAAAGTTGTGTTTCTCATTAATGTGTGATCGTCAGAATTTTTCTCTTGATAATTTAAAGATGAGACGTGGTTCAATGTTTGTGCACTATGTTAGCTTAATGCAACTCGATACGGGATACTCTATCGAAGAAAAACCAAAAGTATCACGAGAGGACGCTTATGAATACCCAGCAAAAGTTCAGCAAGCGATAAACGAAATATACAATCAGGTATTATGTTGTTACATATTCGATATGCTTTCTTATATGGATTTACTAGGGCAGCTCTTTTCAGAAAACCGTGAAAACGAGTTGGCTGAAGTAAGCAACCTCCAAGAGCACAGAGTGGTTTTTCTAAGCGATAATATCACTAATATGATGAACGTCCTTTACAGTTTCGGTAAGTTGGACGATATGGATCCGTTATGGACCGTTTACATGTTTGTAAAATATTTAAGATCGATCGAGAAGAATGAAATACTAGCTAGACGGAGAAAACATTCAAAATGAACACCATTATGTTTGTCAGCATCTTGCGCACATACTCAACAAGGTAAAGTGCAAGAAGCAGAATGAGTACAACGCCCAATATAACAATTCAGAGTTCTACAATCGTTTTCAATCACTCTTTTTGAATCAACAACATAAAATAGTTGCCCTCATAGCAACTTTAAGACAATCATTTGTTACTAAATACCGAATAGTTAAAGAACACATAAACATCGACGCGACTTGTCGATATTTCTTTATTTCAACATCACTTGAAAATGGGTTCTATTTGGCGTAATGAGGACATTGTGAGCAGTTTGTTTGGAGACTTTGCAGAGCTTCCTGAATGGAAAAGAATGTACTCTCAAGCAAAAAAATTTGAAGAAAAAACACAATTTGACTCACTACAGGATTTGATCGAGACCATTGCAAAATCACAAAGTCTGTTAGTGAATATAGTAAAATTTATATTGTTGCACAGCTTTTGGAAACAACTAACTTTAATCAATTTGTCTTTGCCTCTAACAGACAAAGAAGAACAACCTCATCGATTATGGCTTCCAATGATCAATCAAAGGCAGATACAACATTTAAACAAGTTGATATCTAGTTTTGTTGAAGCATGTATTGTTTATTTTAACATAAAAGACGATTTAGGATTGGCATTCCTCAAGCGTTTGATTAATATGCCAGCAAACCTTTTTATGAATGTGCAATTTAACAAAGAAATAAAAAAAGACCTCTTGAAATATATGGATGAAATTTATTCTCAAGAATTCGGCTATGAAACAAAGCTTGTCAGGTTCTCCGGACTTATCTCCGCGCGATACATAGTCAAACGAAAAGCGATGCTCGACCAATTATGTAAAAGACATAATGTAATGAACACAATGCCTTCCATTAAAGACCTAACAAACTATAACAGTTTTGAAAGTAATTTAAGTATTCATATATTTTATAAGCTAATAAGTGACTTCTATTTTAAAAAACTTGTCGAAATCGATTTTGATGTCATTCGGTCGTTTAACAAGTTCTCAGATGACTTTTTGGGAGATACAAGTTATGAAATTTTGATGTGAACTATTGTATTTTTTTTTTATGTAAACAATGTTTGATATTGTTGAATTCTAATTTTATTTCAAAACTTTATAATCTATAAATTTACCGTATCTCGAAGTTATTTGAAATAATTTAAATTAATTCACTTTTTGGGTTTTAAAATGTCGATATATTGTGCACTATTAGATTCATACGAAAATATATTAACAATCAAATTTTTACGCAGTAAATTTAAAGCAATTTACTGTATAAAAATTAATTTTCCAAAAAATGTATAATTTTTTACCATTAACACAATATGTAAGGCCAGCTGAAATAAAACACGTAGGTAGGTATAAAAAATAAAATACAGCAAAAACATTATTTGAAAATATTGCTTTGAGAGTTCTCGTTAACCGACAAAATAATATGATTAATACATAATAGGCCTTTGCGTATGTGCTGTGTGATTCAAACACCTTATGTTAAGCCAACTGAAAAAAAATAGTATACAGCAAAAACATTATTCTAAAATATTGTTTTAAGCGTTCTCAGTAACCGACAAAATATTGTGATTGAAATAAATTATAACGAATTCGGTAGTATATAAAACCCGTTTAAGGTTTAAGTAAAACTATGAAACGCTATAATATTTTAGGAAAACTGTTATTGCGACGTTTTCACGGTGAAAAATGTTCGAATAAATTGTAGTCGAGAAGACTTAATTATGCTTTTTGAACAAGTTGATAGCTGCATATGTTGAAACAAATATTTTTCATCGTAATTAATGTAAAATTTAAAGACAAATAATTAATGTAGAATTGTATTTAAAGATATTGATTTAGTGATTCATGGAATCTTGTTTTTCGAAACAACTAAAATTATTGGACTCGAATTATTGATGGTTCAAACCATATTATGTTAAAAGACATACAAAACTTCAGTCCAATCAAACTGGCTCACGAACTTCATATATTTTGTACTATTAGTATTCTATAATTGAAATTAAAATACCAGCGGCACTCTTATCAGGATACCTGCCTATAATATTTAGTCGAATGGAAGATACCTACGAGACATTGGCAGTCTTGTTATTAAACACCGGCAGCATGCTTGTTTTGAATAGACCCGAAAGGTTATTGACACTCCGAAACTTTCTTATATTATATATATATATATATTGCTATTTTGTGTTGTATATTGTTATTCATAATCTTGTCGCTGTATACAGGAATTCCGTGGCGAGTACCCGCTGAGAACGACTTTAGGTGTTTAGGTGAAAATTGATCTTTGGTCTTTGCGCGTAGTTTCTATTGCCGGTTTCGGTTTGCTAATACTACATTAATTTGTCTTTGCCTTTATCGGACAATGAAGAACAACCTTATTGACTATGGCTGCCGATGATCAATCAAGAGCAGATTGATCATTTAAACAAGTCGATAACTAGATATGTTGAAGCATGTATTGTTAATTTTAAGATAAAAGACGATTTAGGATTGGTATTCCTTAAGCGTTTGATTAAATTCCAGCAAACCTTTTTATTATTGTGAAATTTAACAAGGAAGTAAAAAAATACCTCTTGAAATATATGGATAAAATATATTCACAACAGTTCGGCTGTGAAACAAAGCTTGTAAGGTTCTCCAGATTTATCCCGTGCGATACATAATAAAACGAAAGGCGATGCTCACCATAATGCCTTCCATTAAAGAAAAATTACAACAGTTTATAAATTCAACGTATCTTGTAGTTTTTCGAAATAATTAAAATTAATCCACTCATCTGACTTTGAAATATTGCTATCATTGTGCACTTTTAGATTCATACGAAAATATATAGATCATTACAAAATTTGAAGTATTGTTTTTTTGTTTTTCTAATTAATTGCGTAATTAAAATAAAATATAATTTATTATATTAAAATTATTATCTTACAATATTGTTCGCAATGTGTAATTACAGTTAAGAACAAAGGTCGATCCATTCAATGTAACACATTCTTTTTTCGGAAAATTATTAAATTGTAGTTTTATATTAAACGTAGCAGTGATACGGGATTCTTCTCATTCGACACACTGTGCAAAAGAGTAACTTTTGTTTGACTACAGGATTGACAATTTGGAAAATTCGTAAAGTTGAAAATTATTAAAATATTGAATTTTTTTCCAATTGACTATGGATTAGTTGAAAATTTCAGTAAATAATTATTAATCAAATAATAAAAACAATTTTCTTAAACTTTTATTATTATACATTATTTTACAGAATGTATAACAATAAGCACAATATATAAAACACTTACAATTTATTATTTCGCGTGGAGTCGTTACCTGTTACATTAGCATGAATTGAGTGAATCGTTGAAGTTAAAATGTTTTTTTACCCTGCATTATTTTTTAGAAAATATTAATTTGTCTATAGTTTCCTGAAATTCCTGAATGGAGCAGATGGTGAGCAGAAGTTGATTTGTAACAAAAACTATTTGAACCGATAAGTTCTGCAATTATTGCAATTCTTAGATTAGAAGAGTTTGTTACGTTTTTAATGAACATTGGTGGTGGTATATCAATTTTCTTCTGCGTTTAGTGTGGGTCGGAGATAGTCTCAAGAGAGCTTGTCGTATTTTTAAAAATACTTTTCTACCCGTCGAAAAAATGTTATAATGAAAGGGAAATTCGATAAAGTCTAGTGGTGCGTAAAGAGTTGAGTTGACACTCAATTTGTACTTAGAAAGCCACATCGTCACTTGCCCAATTGGAGAGAGATATTGCAGAACGACGCCAAAAGGTGGCTTCGACGATAGTCCCTTCCAATAATTTGTTAATTACTGTTACGACCGGATTTACATAAAATTATTCATTCATTTATTTACATATTATTTACGCTAATTTCGTTTCGGTCTTGGCTGGTCGTCTGCTGCTAGTGATATTATTGTTATATAATTGAAATTACAACGTAGGAAACAATAACATAGATATTATACAACAAATTATGTTGTTTTATAGAGTACTCAATTGAAACAATGCTTTTTATGTAAACTCATCATGTCTTTTTTATCCGATAACTCAAATAAATAGTTATACTTATTAATCATTATTATTATTAATTACACGTTCTAGAAAACTACCTAAATATACAAACAATTTTATGATTTGTACAAGTCTTTGGCTTGAGTATACGAATATTATAACAATTTAACAGTGTTTGTGCACCTTATTGAAAAATTTTCGCAGTAAACATGTTATTAAGTCGAATATGGTTGGTCTTGACAATTGAAACAATAAATATATTTCAAAATATGTTTTTCACGGTTGTGCGTATGCCTAAAGCATATGACTTAAATGATCGTACTGCGTTGGAGCATTATAAGGGGTTGATGACAATCGATACAGGATACTCTCACAAAATGTTTGATATTGTTAAATTCTAAGTTTATTTCAAAACTTTATAAGCTATAAATTTACCGTATCTCGAAGTTCATCGAAATAATATTGTGCACTATCAGACTCATACGAAAATTGCATTATTAATGAATTCCTAATTTATTTTAAAACGGTATTCTCAATAAATTCACTGTATCTTGAATTTTTTCGAAATAATTAAAATTAATCCTACAATCTGACTTATAGGTAGGTATTAAATGTACAATATATAATGTATTATTTTATGATCTTTTAAAAAAATTATTATTTGTCTATAGTTTCCTGAAATATCAGTTCGTAGTTGAAGGTGCATTGGAGTTGATTTTCAACGAAAACTATTGGAACCGAGTCTCAAGAGAGCATGTCGTATTTTTAAAAATACTTTTCTACCCGTCGAAAAAATGTTATAATGAAAGGGAAATTCGATAAAGTCTAGTGGTGCGTAAAGAGTTGAGTTGACACTCAATTTGTACTTAGAAAGCCACATCGTCACTTGCCCAATTGGAGAGAGATATTGCAGAACGACGCCAAAAGGTGGCTTCGACGATAGTCCCTTCCAGTAATTTGTAAATTACTGTTACGACTGGATTTACATAAAATTATTCATTCAATTATTTACATATTATAAACTCATAAAACAATGAGGCGATGGCGATAATCAAATTATTGTTATATAATTGAAATTACAACAAAGGAAATAATAATATAAATATTATAAAACAAAATATGTTGTTCTATAGAATAACCGAATGAAACAATGTGTTTTTTATACAAACTCACCATAATATGTTATGGTTATCCAATCAAATAAACTGTTACTTATTAATCATTATTATTATTAAACTTTATAAATATATAATTCCTAACAGTAACTAATATTACATTTAATGTCAGTTATTTTATGGTAGTTGTTAATTTTCATATATTTTGTTGGATAATATTACTTTCTTGTTTAATGTCATACATTACTATTTAATTATTTAAATACTAGTCTCAGATGTTTTTATGTTATATTAAAATGTTAATAAATAAGCAATAAAATATTATAAAACCCTTATAAATAATAATAATACATATTATTGAAGTATTAAATATAACCGAATTTTTACATTTTATACGGGATTACTGTAATACAACATAGTTATTAGGCAACTAAATAATTCTCGTATTTAAAGCTATAACAGATTGTATTTTGTATAAAATAAAAAAATATTTTTTCAAATATTTCTAAGCTAAATTGTGAAATCCGTATTAAAGAGCCTTCAACCGTCAATCAATTTATGGTCATTATCATATGGAAGTTACAGAAGAGTGAAATTAAATGAAACCCCTAACGCCATGATAACAACCCTTACTAGATAGTATTTCCAAAAACGAGATGTACATGAAAAATAAAAATAAATTAATCCATAACAATCCCGAAATTGCTATGGAACCGAAAAGGGCGGCTTTTGCTTTGGTGCAATATCACTCAGACACGGACCGGCATTGAATTAGTGATTAAATTATTATATTCAAAGGATTCGGGGCAAGTTGTATTTTCAAAAAAAAAAAACACTCTTCTAACCTGCAGCAAAAAAGTTTATAATAAAAGGAAAGTACGATCAAGTCTAGTGGCGCGTAAATGATGACGAGTTGACACTCTATTCATATTCAGAAAGCCACATCAACAATTGCCTAAAGACACTGTGCACGATGGCAAGAGGTGTTCGTTCGACGGTAATCCTTTCCAGTCACTTGTTAATTACAAAACGAACGGATTTACATAGAATTATTCATGTATTTATGTTCATTATATATACTGGCAAAACCACGAGGTGATGACGCCAACGCATATTTCGTTTTGGTCTTTATGCTATTGTATGATGGAAATTACAACAGCAGCGGCTATCTTGTCGAAATCTGTCTATATTATTTATCCGACCGAAAGTCTGGTGTCTTCTTGTACATGTTCTTAAACACCGGTAGCAAGATCCGAATGCCCCATTAGCAGGTATTCAAAATCTCTCGACAAGAACGACATGACGAATTATAAAAAAAACAACAATTCCCAATAAAAAAAAAGAGTTAGTTTTGCGACATTTTAATCAGTTCGGTGCAGTTACAAACTCACATATGCTATTACACCGCCATATCTTGTCGACATCTGTCTATATTATTTATCCGACCGAAATCTCTGGTGTCTTGTTGTACTTGATATTGAACACTGGTAGCAAACTCTAAATGAGTACACCCGTATGCCCTATTAGGATTATGTCGCACTCGGATTAACCTGTCGTACCCGCCCTAAGGTATCGAAAGTCCCACGACAATAACAACATTGATGATATTAACATAATGGATTAAAAATAAAAAACCATACCCAATCAAAATAAGAGCTAACTTTGCGGCATTTCAAAACAGTTCGGTGCGGTATGATGTTGGTCACATATGTTATTACACCTCTACATCTAAGCCACCAGTATGTATACAATGTACATTACTTAAAGTTTTAGATTATGAATGGTCCATAATGAAAAAAAAAATAGTAACTTAAGTCAACTGTAAAATAAACCGCACAATCAAATGAATGTGTTGAATAAACGTTGTTCGGAAAACAATGACTCAAGCGTTTTTGGAAACCAAAATATACTACACAACGTACTTACTAAACTTCTTACTAAATTTACAACATATTGTGACATTTTACGCTTAAAAAGAGTATGCCATATTCCTAGCAAAGACGCTATAATAGTAGAAATGTATTTGCATCGAGAACGGTCTCGACGCTTGCAACAATTATGATTCAATATAGTTATTGTAAATTTCATTTTATAGTATTAATTATAGTATTTAAAAGAATATTTTCGAATGGATAATTAGGAAAGAACAAAGGTCAATACATGGCAATCCATTCAGCGCAAGATATTAATGTTTTCGGGAAATTTTTAAAAAGTTTTAGTTTTTCTAATTAATTATCTAAATTAAAAAGTAAATATACAGTGATACTTTTGTCACGGGCCACTCAACATATCATAGGGTTTAATAAGAAATTAAATTATCGCCTACGAGACAGTTACAGTCTTGTTATTAAACACGGCAGCACGCTTGATTCGAAAAGATCTGAAAGGTTATGCGCACTCCGAAACTTGCTTATATATATTGTACTATATTGTGTTGTATATTGTTATTAATACTATTGTCGTTGAGTACAGGAATTCCGTGATGAGTACCCGATGAGACCGACTATAGGTGTTTAGGTGAATCTTGATGTTTGGCCTTGGCGCATAAATTCCATTGCCGGTTTCGGTGGTGTTACTGTATTATATTATACCAAAAAGACCGCGACAACTATGTAACAATTACTACTCGTGTGCAATGTCCGTATGTCGTCGGCGGAAGTTAACAGTTTGCTTACACATTTTGAAAAACGTGTAGACCGCTCAAATCATATGTGCGATTGGCTCTTGAAACGTTGCTTGTGTCGTCGTAAAATATTAAACGATTTAAAATATATATTTTGTAGAACATAGTTTAACGTAAAAATTGGATTCTAAAGATATGTACAAGAAGAAATCAGTTAAAAAGTTGCCGTGGGTCAAGCTACAAAAAACAATTATATGCATAGAAGCTTAAAAGATATAGGAATTATATTAAATACATCGTTTATAAAATATTTTACAAACAACATAAAAATATGAAATATCATATAACTGTCATATTTAAAACAATATACGTAATAAAATATGTTGAAATAAAAAATAAAATATACAATATTAGGAAGCAGTAAACCCAAATGTATAAATTCATGTGTTTTGAATAAAATGTAATATAGTTAAATATCAAGGTCAACCGCATGTATACGCTACACATGTTTTCCATTTTTTATTGTTTATTACAAAAAAAATAACAGCTTTAGATAACCCAACAGTAAAAAAACACGTATAACCGAACAGAATGTAGGGGAAAAAATTCCATAAACACTGAATTTAGTATTTTTTATTACCAACCAAATATTTTATAGTAACTACTCGTTTATAAAAATTAAATGTACAACGTATTGTGAAGTATAAGTGCGCCTTCTCCTGTTTAAGTGAAAATACCAATCGCCTAAAAAAAGTGTGCCATATAGCTTATACGACAATTTTATAGTAGAAATGTATTTGCGTCGAGTATGGCTGGTCTTAACGATTGCGATAATGATTATGATCCAAAAATTGTGTTTCTCATTTATGTGTGATCGTCAGAAATTTGCTCTTAACAAATTGAAGAACATAAATAATTTAATGTTTGTGCATTATGTAAGGTTAATGCAACTCGATACGGGATACTCTATCGAAGAAAAACCACAAGTGTCACAAGAAGAGGCAAATGAATACCCGGGAAAAGTTCAGCACGCGATAAACGAAATATACAATCAGGTATTATGTTGTTACATATTCGATATGCTTTCTTATATGGATTTACTAGGACAGCTCTTTTCAGAAAACAGTGAAAACGAGTTGGCTGAAGTAAGCAACCTCCAAGAGAACAAAGTTGTTTTTCTAAGCGATAATATCATTGATATGATGAACGTCCTTTACAGTTTCGGTAAGTTGGACGATATGGATCCGTTATGGACCGTTTACATGTTTGTAAAATATTTAAGATCGATCGAGAAGAATGAAATACTAGCTAGACGGGAAAACATTCAAAATGAACACCATAATGTTTATCAGCGACTTGCGCACAAACTCAACAAGCAAAAATGCAAGAAGCAGAATGAGTATAATGCCCAATATAGCAATTCAGAGTTTTACAATCGTTTTCAATCACTCGATTTGAATCAACAACATAAAATAGTTGCCCTTATAGCGATCTTAAAACAATCAATTTATAAGAGATACCAAAAAGTTGAAGAACACATACACATCGACACATCGTGTCGATTTTACTTTAGTGCCACTCACTTGAAATTGGAATCTGTTTGGCATAGTAAGGAAATCGTGAGACATCTGTTTGTCGACTTTGCAGAAGTGCCTGAATGCAAAAGAAAATACTCTCAAATACAAAAATATCATTTTGAAAGACCACAATTTGACTCGCTTCAGGATTTAATCGAGTCCGTGGCGAAATCACAAAGTCTATTTGTGAATTTAGTCAAATTTATATTTTTACACAGCTTTTGGAAACAATTAACTTTAATTAATTTGGCTTTGCTTTTATCAGACAACGAAGAACAACCACACCGACTTAGGCTGGAGATGATGAATCAAGAGAAGATAAATGATTTAAACAAGTTTTTTTATAGATATGTTAAGCTGAGTACTGATTATTTCTCCATAAAAGACGATTTAGGTTTGATTTTCCTCAAGTATTTGGTTAAAATGCCAGCAAACCTTTTTACCAACGTACAATTTAACAAGACAGTAAAAAAATACCTTTTGAAGTATATGGATGAAATTTATTCACAAGTATTCGGTTGTGAAACAAAACTTGTAAGGTACTCCGGAATTATCTCCTCGCGATACATTATAAATCGACAGGCGATATTCGCCGAAGTATGTCAAAAACATAATATGATGGACATAATGCCTTCCATTAAAGAACTAACAAGGTATAACATTTCTGAAAGTAATTTAAGTATTCATATATTTTACAAGCTAATAATTGACATCGATTTTGAATGCAATTGCCAAATAGATTTTGATGTAATTCGGTCTTTTAACAATTTCTCAGATGAGTTTTTGGGAACTACAAGTTATTAAATTGTGATGTGAACTATCGAATTTTAGTTTTGTTTATGTAATTAATGTTTGATTTTTATAAGCGTTTAATTCTAAATTTATTCTTCTATCTTAAAGTTATTTGAAATAATTAAAATTAATTCACTTATCTGACTTTAAAATGTCAATATTATTGATATTATTGTACACTTCTTGAATGATACGAAAATATATAAATTATTACAACATTTGAAGTTTAAAATAAAATGTTTTTCATATAAATAGACATGTATTCACCAACTATGGTCTTGATGATTTCAACAATTTTTATATAAAATATGTTTTGCTCGGTTATTGTAAAATAAATTGCATATTATTAATATTATTATATAAAAAATATTTCACATTGCACAAGTGGTAAGAGCAAAGAACAATACAAGAACTACTGTTTATGGCTATCTTTTATCTATCTATTCAACGTAAAACATAATTTTAGAAAGCTATTAAAACGTTTTAATATTTAATAGTTTTTTCTAATTAAATATCGATTTTTTACTGCAATTCAAAAATTGCAGTAAAAAATTCCTTATTCTAATAATGAAAACAGTTTCTGAATATTGTAATATACAGTAGAACTCAAGTAAATAGATTAAGCAAAACAAAATGTATTTTAAAGTTTTATAATATTATGAACTGACTAACAATAACGCCAATTCGGGAATCTGTACAAATGACCGATATTACTTAATGTAAAGTAAGAAAAACAATATTATTTGTTTTTACTATAAAAGGCAAATGTCAAATAAGCCAAAAAAAACACTCGTTCTTGGCTAAAACTAAGTGGAGTATTTTTTGCACCTCCTGGTCAAGCGTATATGTTCAATAATTTTTTTTGAGTTCAAAGTGTTAAAATTGGTTTCAGCGTAATTTTCTAGTAAATTTTACATTTTGATTTCTTCATAAACTGTCACAAATATCATCAATGCCTGTGTTGTTTCCGTTAAGGTAATATACAAATTGTAAATTGTGTGTACTACGGTAAGATGCGCAGATAGTATATTTATAATACTCTGCAGTCAGTCAAAAGTTTATTATGAAAGGAAAGTACCATCAAGTCTAGTGGCCTGTAAAGGATGACGTGTTGACACTCAATTCATATTCAGAAAGCCACATCAACAATTGCCTGAGGGGCGGACACTGCACGATGGCAAGAGGTGTTCGTTCGACGGTAATCCCTTCCAGTCATTTGTTCATTACAGTAACGAAAGTACATTATATGTATATACTGGCAACACCACGAGGTGATGGCCCAACGGTGATTTTGTTTCGGTCTTTATGCTATTATATGATGGAAATTACAACAACAGCGGCTATCTTGTCGAAATCTGTCTATATTATTTATCCGACCGAAATCTCTGGTGTCTTGTTGTACTTGATATTGAACACTGGTAGCAAACTCCAAATGAGTACACCCGTATGCCCTATTAGGATTATGTCGCACTCGGATTAACCTGTCGTACCCGCCCTAAGGTATCGAAAGTCCCACGACAATAACAACATTGATGATATTAACATAATGAATTAAAAATAAAAAAACAATACCCAATCAAAATAAGAGCTAACTTTGCGGCATTTTAAAACAGTTCGGTGCGGTATGATGTTGGTCACATATGTTATTACACCTCTACATCTAAGCCACCAGTATGTATACAATGTACATTTCTTAAAGTTTTAGATTATGAATGGTCCATAATGGAAAAAAAAATAGTAACTTAAGTCAACTGTAAAATAAACCGCACAATCAAATGAATGTGTTGAATGAACGTTGTTCGAAAAACAATGGCTCGAGTGTTATCGGCAACCAGGAATATTTTCTATTGTTTATTACAATACAAAAGCAACTTATGGTATGCCAACTGTAAAATAACACGTTTAACCGAACACGACCTAGAAAAAAATAATATTCGATAAAAATTGAATTGAGTATTTTTGGTTACCAACAGAATATTATATACTAAATACACGTTTAAGAATATTAAATTTACAACGTATAAATGTGAAGTGTAAGTGCATCATCACCGGCTTAAGAAAATAATACTAAACGTTTAAAAAGACTTCGCCATATTGCTACTAGGACGCATTAATAGTAGAAATGTATTTGAGGCGAGTATGGCTGGTGTTAACAATTAAAACAATTGTGATTACAAATGTGTGTTTCTCATATCTGCCGTTTCGTCAAAGTTTTGCTAATGTTAATTCGTTCCAGCATTATGGTAAGTTGATGAAAATCGATACAGGATACTCTATCGGGGAAAAACCAAAAGTGTCAAAAAAAGGGGCATATGAATACCCGGGAAGAATTCGGCACGCGATAGACAAACTATACCATCAACTATCATGTTGTTACATGTTCGATATGCTTTCTTATATGAATTTACTAGGACAGCTCTTCTCAGAAAACGGTGAAACAGATTTGAGTGAACTAATCAACCTCAAAAAGCACAAAGATGTTTTTTTAAGCGACAATATCATTGATATGTTGAACGTTCTGTACAATTTCGGCATGATGGACGATATGGGTCCGATATGGATGGTTTATATGTTTGTGAAATATTTAAGATCGATCAATGGGAATGAAATACTAGCTAGACGGGAAAATATTCGAAATGATCATCGTACTGTTTATCATCGACTGACTCACATACTCTACAAACAAAAATGCAAGACGCAGAATGAGTACAACGCCCAATATAACAATTCAGAAATCTACAATCGTTTTCAATCACTCTTTTTAAATCAACAACATAAAATAGTTGCCCTCATAGCAACCTTAAAACAATCATTTGATAAAAGATACCAAATGGTTGTTCAACTCGTAAAAATCGATATATCTCGTCGATTTTACTTTAGTAAGAGTCACTTTAAATTGGAATCCGTTTGGGATTATAAGGAAATTGTGAGATGTTTATTTGTCGACTTTGCGGAGCTTCCTGAATGGAAAAGAATGTACTCTCAAGCAAAAAAATTTGAAGAAAAAACACAATTTGACTCACTACAGGATTTGATCGAGACCATTACAAAATCACAAAGTCTGTTTATGAATTTAGTAAAATTTATAATTCTGCACAGCTTTTGGAAACAACTAACTTTAATTAATTTGTCTTTGCCTTTATCAGACAAGGAAGAACAACCACATCGACTTTGGCTGCCGATGATCAATCAAGAGCAGATAGATAATATTAACAAGTTTTTTTATACATATGTTAAGCTGAGTACTGATTATCTCTCCATAAAAGACGATTTAGGTTTGATTTTCCTCAAGTATTTGGTTAAACAGCCAGCAAACCTTTTTACTAATGTGCAATTTAACAAGACAGTAAAAAAATACCTCTTGAAGTATATGGATGAAATTTATTCACAAGTATTTAGTTGTGAAACAAAGCTTGTAAGGTACTCCGGACTTATCTCGGCGCGGTACATAATAAATCGACATGCGATGCTCACCAAAATATGTCAAAAACATAATATGATGGACATAATGCCTTCCATTAAAGACCTAACAAACTATAACATTTTTGAAAGTAATTTAAGTATTCATATATTTTATAAGCTAATAAGTGACTTCTATTTTAAACGGGATGGCCAAATAGATTTTGATGTAATTCGGTCTTTTAACAATTTCTCAGATGAGTTTTTGGGAACTACAAGTTATTAAATTGTGATGTGAACTTCTGTATTTATGTTTTTTTTATGTAAGTATTATTTGATACTATTGGGAAGTACAAGTATTTATATTTTTTATAAACTATTATATCAGAATATTCTATGTAACAAATATTACAACATATGACGTATTGTTATAGTTTAAGTTACAATTAATACGATCGCACATATTTCAGATTAAAATTGTGCACTTGTATTATCAAATTATTATATAACACTATCAATTCGATATCTGCTTTAATTATTTATTTGCCTGGAATGTACATACAGTGAGAACCCTGGGTTTGCGTGGTTGACCCGAAGACCGACCTACGGCCGCGGACTGACTGGTAGCGCTGAGCGCTAGTTGCTAGCCGCGGACGAATTGGCCAGAGCTGCCGGACATTTCGGTCCTTGATCAATCTCTCTGAGGTGCAAGTCAATATTATTAAACGAATCACCGGCGCTCGTGGTCGGTACTTGACGTCGCCGTACTGGTCTTGGATTGAACAAGCGCCTTCGCTCCGCGCACCGGTCCACGCATTGTATATACACTGTACGGCTCTTGTTTTTAAATACAGGCATCCTCTGGTATACAATGCCCTAGCCAGTAGGCCAGGTAACACCCGGGGAAATCCAGCCCACCGCGAACGGATGACCTTGGGAATCTTTCGTCCAGGAGCTTTCCCATGGTTCGCATGTGACCGGGCACAAGTTCCTACTCACGGGTGGTTCCTACCCTCCTCCCGCAAGTTCGTCTGGGAGCCCAACGACGTGGGTATATTCGCCTCTTACGACTGGCACCTCGGAGCCAGAGGGGAATTCTATCGCAGCCCCCGCCTCTTGGGCCTGGAGTGTCTTGCAGTCGGGAAAGTAGTTTTATGATAGCAAGTTGTTCAGGCCGAACTACCAAATATGTATACTTAGATGTTAAGAGCAAATACTATTGCCAGTAACTAAACTAGCTAGGGAAATCATTAGATTTTATTGAATTTTTTACTACCTCAATCCAAAAACTGCACTTTTATAAAAATACAACTATTAAAACCTCTTTTAGAGATATTAGTTGTTGGTATATGTTTAGTTTTTAAATCCTTACTTTTTGAACCCTATTAAAATGAATTAAAATTCAACTGTTATTAAATAAATAATAGCGTGTAATATTTTTTAACTTAATGTTGTGTAAGTTTTTTATAAGATTGAACTATTTGAATTGTATAATTCTATTGAACATATTTTAATGAATGAATTGGAATCTAAAGATAATATGCACAAGAAAAAAATGGTATGCATCAAATCTAAAACGATGTAGGAGTTATATAAAATAATTCGTTTATAAA